TGTTTAATTTATGATAATTATAACATCAATGGTCAGGTTATAGACAGATGCACCTCTTATAGAGACCTTGGAGTCACTTTTGATACCAAGCTGACGTTTACTGAGCATATACTCAATATCTCGTCGGCTGCCACTCGACTACTTGGTTTCTGTATCAGAAACTGGAAGGGTTTCTCCAATGTTGATACATAAATAACTTTATTTTTTACTTTTGTCAGGAGCAAGTTAGAGTATGCGAATCTGATCTGGTCTCCTATATCCTATATACCAAAATTCTGTCGTGATCCTTGAGGCCATTCAACGTAAAGCTTTAAAATATGTTCACCTCAAATGCACAGGTTCTTATACAGAAAGAGGTTGTGACCATAGTACCCTATTAGAGTTTTTCAATTTGGATTCACTGTCAACAAGACGAAACATATTTGCTTTGTCGTTTTGTATGGCCTCATTCACAATAAAATTGACTGTCAAAATTTACTTGAAAAAATATGTTTCCGCGTTCCAAGGCTAGGGAGTCGACAACAAACGGCATTCTATTGTCAAGCTGGCCGTACAAATGTTATAACAAAATCGCCAATTAATCTCATGTGCTGCGTCATGAACAGTGTTACTGAATCGTGTGATATTTACAATGACAGTTGTGCATCGATTATTAACTGCTATAGATCATCCAATCTTATTTAGAATGTGTGATACTATAGATTTAAGTCCAAGAACCATGTATCTTTAATTGTTATTTTTTTTCAGCGTTTCCTGTAATTGGGTTTCACCTGTTGGAAATAAATAAATAAATAAATGAATAAACTAAGAATGCGAGGTACAGTGTTCATCGTAGAGGATTGTGTCAAAAACAGTTATTACTAGAACGGACAAGAGAACCTGGAAAATATTTTCAACTTTAATCTAAAAGTGTGATGTTTCTGTGAATTCCGCTTTATTGACCTAACAAGAAATGCCGGATCTTTAAATTTGAAGATAATCTGAACCTTTTTGTTTAAAAATTTTTGTTGTATCTCTAAAAAGAGTGGTGGGGGTATTCAAAGGTTTCCGTAAAAAACACCCTGTATCTTCGAAACGACTGAGCCGATCTTAACAAACTTGGGCTAGTTGAAAAGGGCTGTTTTTGGGCTACAAATGTTATAATATTCGAAGTTTTGTTAGTTTCAGATGTGGCCGCTAGAGGGCATTTTTCGAGATTCCGACAGAAATGGTTAATTTTCTCAAAATATTTTGATATTTTACGTAACCTCGCGTATTTTTGCACAGGTCCAAACAGCGTTTATACGGGACGAATATCTGGACCTAAATGGCGCAAAACAACAGAAATGTCAATTCCAATACTGAACATACCCTTAATGGCACCATAATTCACCACAGCAATGAATGTAATTAGATTTTGGATCTGGTTAATAAATGCTCTGGATATCCACAGAACGATGGCATAGAACTCCATAACGCTCCTATTTATTTATTATAATATTCCCTACATCTGTTCGACGCCACCCGCCTCGCTGGTCGTAGCATAAATTAGATCGGAGCAGATCTGGTCTACATGGTGGCTAAAAATGAACGTTACTTGAAATATCCATTCCGCATCCGTTTTTCAAAATTTACTTTAATTTTTACCTTTCTTGTTTGTGTTGTAAATAGTGATCCATCTGTTTCTGAAGTTTCAAATCGACGGTTAAAATGAAAATGAAAAGTTCTTTTTCTAAACGGGTTTTTCTATTTTCTTTCCAACATTGTTCAAGCGTATATCGATCCCTATTCGTTCACCGCAGACTCTTCACTAAATTCCTGTTTTGACAGAACTGATGTAAGTGTTTCGAACCTAGTTCAAAAATTAACCAACAGATGGATCACCCTTCAGCGAGGTCATGTTTTTGTTGTTACATGACATGTACATCACGAAAAACAATGTCACTCATTTCCATCGGTCTCGCTAATCCGTGGACCCTCTAAATCTTGCTGTAATGCTCGGATTTTGATTCTATGTTCACACAGGGTTTCTACTATGTCAAATACGAAAAAACTTTGTAGTTGTTGAACATCGATCTAATAGCGGTGAGTCTACGAACCAAATAAAAATCAATCACTCAGTGGGATCGCAACGTTTCCGGATGGGGACTGATTGTATGGGCTGACTTGATCCAATTAAATTCTTTTATGATGCATATTCGTAGTTATCTTTTTAGGCAACACTTTACTAGCCATACGCTACCAACTTACACCGGTTCGCACAAAATCCTACCCGTGCCTACAGTTACACTGCTCGAGCTGGCCAGCATAGCATGCCGACGTTGCCAGATGGTCGATACTTTCAGTAAGGACAGGGAAGAAATTTCTATATTGCAGCGTTATTATAACTGATTGTATGGGTCTTTTAGGCTCACTTTTTTTTCGTTGTATACATATTTTTTGCTAAAATAACAATCCTTTATGAATTGATGACATTGTTACGTGGTAAGTGCACAGTCAGCCTGCTTGAAGCCATTTTCCAGGGCTTGGGAAGTGACGTGAAGCCAGACACCATAGAACAACGAATCGAAATCATCGAATTTTGTCGTCTATTATTTTACCTGAGTGTGTATACAGGTATGTATATCGTTGCAATTTTAAAACTTGACGGTGCCAACAAAATAAGCAATCTCGATTCAAATTCCTGGCAACAAAGGGACAGTATCGAATCTCCATAATGCTGGAAGAAGATGCATACTGCACGTGAAACTATGAAGTTTATGTGAGAGTTTATAAGAGTCCGGTTTCCAAGATACAAGTACAAGGATCTTGGTGGCAGCATCAACACAAACAAATTCAAGCCAGGACGACAGTTTGTTCTTTATTCGTGTCGGGCTTTCGAGACAAGCGATCCAAAAAACATCATTTGGCGGGGTAGTCTAAATATTATTTTTTATTTTATGCATATAAGAGCATGACATGTTTTAGTATACAATATTGTTCTATTGCGCCACCAGTGGCGTACCTACAAACAGTGTCTTGCGATACATCAGAAGAGAAAATAGTAAGAGTGTGTTTTTAAGTAGAAAAATATCAGTGGCGTTCCAATTTTTTTTTGTAAAATATACCACAAGACATTCTTGTAGGGACTCGCCACAGAATAACTTTTTACACCAAGATTTGCCATTACTTATCCTACTATAACACGCCAAAAATAAAATTAGTATCTAAAGTACTTTGGAAGATATAAAATAAAAACATTTTTTCTTAAAAATGTACGAATGTAGCTAAGGATTCAAGTCATTGCGGACATAGGTATATATAAACATTTATTCAACAAGCTATTTGAGGAATCACATCATGGAGTACTGATATACAGGGGTGGCCATAAAGGTGTTCGCAATTTCAATATTTTATTCAATGAATATATATATATATATATATATATATATATATATATATATATATGTATGTATGCGAGTATATATATATATAAGTTGAGACGTGGTCATTGTCGTTTAGACCAGTTAGGTGAAAAATAAAGCTTCCGCCTTTTGTTGGGTACTTCGGCAAAATTCAAACAAAGAGGACTCTTTATACTTTATTAATCTCTAGCTTTCAATGGACTACCATCTTCATCAGGAGCTGCAATAACATTGAGAAGAAATAGCAACTATAGTGCAAAATGATTTTTAAATTAACTTACCCATCTTGTGCAGCATCAGGTGGTTCACGTTGTAATTTTAACCTTTGTTTTTAAATATTTTTAATTCATTTTAATTTGTTCCTGACATACAGCTGTGTGTAGCTTAAATTAATTTTGACCAATGTACGATGTATCCAGCATCCACCAGGTTACTGGTTGTTTCCCTCAACCTAAACGTTAATAACATTTAGCAACAATTTCACATACGACTCTCCTGATGAAGATGGCAAAGTCCATCGAAAGCTAGAGATTAATAAAGTATAGAGTCCTCTTTGCTTGAATTTTGTCGAAGTACCCAACAAAAGGCGGAAGCTTTATTTTTCATATATTCATATATATCTGGAGACTGAACAATTTAATTTTGGCCACTCTATATCATTAGATCGCCATCGTGGTAGTTCGTTTAGTGGGTGCTATTTCATGTCGAATGGTCAACAGAATTGCGGATAATTTCATTTGATAACGTTGCCGGATGCAGTTTGCCAACGTTTGTAGTTACTTGCTGCTACTGGAATCATTATACGGTCGTTAGTTTTCCTAGCTCTGACCGTAATATAATGACGGAATTCAATTTGGGTTATTTAGGGTTAGATTAGGTTTAGAAAATATATCACCATTGCCAACCTATACCCCATTCGTAGTCCATTAACGCCTAGACATAACACAACATGCCCAAATGCGAGATTGCACAGGTCCGGTCCGTATTTTTCCTCAATGGTCTTGGAATGATCTAACAAAATAAATGATTATTTTTAGTTGGGGAGACCGGGGATGGTTGACTATTTTTTCACAACCTCACACATATTTTTGTGCTATTATACATACACACAATCAATGGATAGAAGAACTATTGATCTTATAAAAAAATATGACTACTAGTCCATTATTCAATATAATGATCATAATTTAACGCATTTTACAGAACACCAATTCTTAGTCAATTTACCCCGGCTCCGGGGTAGATTGACTATATGCCCGGGGTAAGTAGACTTACCTATCAATAAGTGACAAATTATGAGAAGAGTCAAGTTATGAAACTTTTTTTATGATTTAACAAAACGTTTTATTCAAAAACAATTTTAGTCAGTTACAGACATATTCTTAAATAAGTCTTTAATAAAACTATCAACTCCTAGTTTTTATTTAAACATTTATTAGTTCATTAATTAGACAGTTTCTTTATATCTTATAAGTCTTCAATATCAGAAGCGCAATGTTTGCATTCAAAAAACATTAGATCACCTCTTACACATTTGGAATGAGCCCATAACTTACAAGTTCTGCACTGAATCCGTTGTTCGCCTGGAACACTAACGACGTAGGATTCAGTGCACTATTAACAAATCGTACTTTCGTCATCTGAATCTACAGCATTACCGTCATTTTCATCGACGGTGTCATCAGCAATCTCATCAACTTTATCAGTTCCTTTTCCTTTACCCTTTCCTTTTCCTTTTTCATTCCCTTTTCCTTTTTCTATTCTGTCCTTTGTATCTGTTTGTTTCTTCTTATATGTTTCTCTTTTATTTTTCATATCTAAAAGATTTAGTTTTTGCGGGGTGTCGGTATATATAGTACTTTTACGTTTCCGAATATTTCTTCTATTTTTCAGTGGCGCCGCTTTTGGAAATGGTCTTAACACTTCAAATGTTGCTGATGAAGTTGAGGAAAGGTTTAGATTGTGTAAAGATGGGGGCACATTTGCTTCTGTAGAATGAACGTTTTCTGGTGTTTTGAGGTTTTCTCTCAGTTCCGGTTCAAATACAGAATTGAATGTTTCGTCAAAAAGAGAAGGTGACTCACATTCAGTCCTCAAAGATCTTGTAGGAGAGGGTGTTGTGGTAGTAATCTGTTCTGTATTTACAGATAAACATTGCGGTGCCAGATAGTGAGTTTCAATTATTGTATGGTGATCAGGAATTGGAACCTCTTCGGTTCTCATATGGTGTCAATCCATAATAACTATCAGTGGTTTTCTTTAAATAACTTCTAAAGCTTCTTCTTCTTCATCATTGACAACTTATTTTTAATATATCCCACTGAGTCCAAAGTTAACGTGACGGATGCAATCTTACCAATGGTTTGCCGTTACTGTGTTGACAGCTTCTTAAAAAAAAATTCACCTGAATCAGTTTTCATTGGACTCTCCCAAAGGTAATCTCATTGTTTTTGTGCGAGCATCCGATGCTCTTAAGGCAGCCACCTTTATATCTGCCCTGTTCGCATGGGCTTATAAAGTCTCCCTCACGGGGAGACCGGAGAAATTTCACCTCCAGCCTTTGTGAACGGTTTTCAAGACATTGTGTTGTCTCGTCGTTTGATACCCTGGCTGCTGCAAGGCTGAGTGGATAGGCAGGTTTGTGATCGGCGAATAGGCAACACTGTGTGTTCTCTTGCCACGTCACACCTTCACATGCACGCATATCATCAAATCGATGCTATGGCTGCCAGTGAACGTCGATGTTAATTCCAATTGACGAGGTTCGACCGCGCATAAATCTAAAATTAATTATCATCTATTCACGGTATAGTGCAAGATTGGTTCTCATTGAAATGACATTAACAGTAAAGCAAGCTACACCGCCAGCGAAACCGAATCCGGCAGACAGCCATTGTTTATGGCTGGGCAGCACGTCGGAATGCTGACGCGTTCGAAGCTCAGCAATGCACCGTCAGCTGCACCCAAATTGTGCCGAGCAACTACACACGGAGTCTACACACTGGATCTATACTAATCGTCTATACTTGAACAAATCCGACTCAGGCACAGTCTTACTGTTAGTATCGCACAAATTCTTCCATATTTACGCATGTGACTCTAGCAACACGCGACGTTCACCTCTACCTGCAGTGGGTCCGATCCAAATAAAGCGAACAGGCAGGTTGCGTTGTCGACTCTGTCGAAGTAGGGCAACATTCTAAGGACACGCTAGATGGTTATAGATATTTCTTTATTCGATGTAGGAATTAGAGGCCCTTCTTATAAGAATTTTATAATGTTTCACTAGTTTGAAAGTTGTTCTAGAAGATATTACTTCCAAAAAGCTTTCTGATTTGTATCAGTAACAGCAAAATCGGACTTGTTGAAAAGGGATCGTGCATTTCGTTAATGTTACTGTACAAACTTAACATGACCTTGGAAGCCTCGGAGATTTTCTCGTCCAGCTTACCCTGTTTATAAAATGAATCGCTTCTGATGAATGTCTGGTGCTTAGTTTAAAAGATGCTGTCGCGTCTAAAACAGAGCGCAGGCACACTTATACGTGGAGTCGAATGGGTTGCCTAGGGAGTTGATATCTCCGCATCCATCTTGCCTGTCACACACACAGATTCCATTAGAGGAGGACCAAGATGCTCTTCCAATGCTGAGGAACACTGCCAAACATGCCACGATCGCGTAGAGTGAAAATACCGGAGTATTCTGCATTGGCACACCGAACACACACAACTTGCATTAGCCGACTGGGAAATGGAAATTAAAATGGCCGGAGGACTTTTTAGATGTGCCTCTGCGATCTAATGGATATACAAGGGAATACAAGAAATACAGAGCGATTAATTCGATTTAAATCGAAGTAAAATGTTTTCGGAAAGACCTTTTTTGGGGATAAAAATCCATTTCAAGATACTGGCAGTGTTTTATGCATATGTTTTGGAACGCCATACTCGTAATTGAAATTTTAGCCTGCCACTTTTACGTTAAAATATAGTTTTTTTTTGATACAAATAAGAAATTTTGTATAGGAAAGTGGACTGCTTAACAAAGAGGATCGCTATTCGACTTTTTCACAAACAAGTTTATGTAAGAAAAATATGTTGAATTCAAAATTATACATTATTGTGAACCCTGTGTTTAACACCACCACTAGAAGATATTCAATTCAAGTAAAAGGCGCTCCTGTGTGAAACTAAGAGCAACGTCACGACTTATTTGAACATTTTCTATATATATATATATATATATATATATATAATTACTTGTTAATTGGGAAATTGGCAAAACTTTTAGGCTAAAGTTGACTCTTTTGACGATAAAATCAAGCTTTCGGCATTCTCTATGGAGCCATCATCAGGATTTCGTCGGTGAGGTTGCAGCCACAAGGTGTTTCAGAAAGAACGTAGAGAAGATCGAACTTGTGTTTTGTATAAAAACAAAAGGACGGGGACATTGGGCTTGTTAAAAAACGACAGATACCTTCGTTAAAAGTTAAGAAAAATAAAAATTATATCAATAAACCCGAACAAGCTAAAAATACTGCACGTGGGTAGACATTTTGTTGAAACAATCGGGATGCAGTCCCTAACCTTCTACTACCGCTACACGTGTATATATATAGAATATGATCATGCGGAGAAAGGTATATAACAACAAGTAGGAAAATAATGGGCAAAATCCACAAAAAGAAGGGAAGTGGATTCGAGCAGAAAATAGGATAGGTAACCCGAGCGATACGTATTTCTGCTGGTTGGCTTCATCAGGCCCGAAATGAATGCACATATGAAACTACAAAAGTAGATACACATGCCCACACATCCGGATACGAGTGTAACCTGTGGAAACGAAGTATAGTAAGTATATATATAAACTTATAGGCGTCATTCTCAGACATTTAAAAAAATATTTCTATATCATAATATCAACCGGTAACAATTAATTGTAACAGAAAAGCATGGAGCTCTTTGGTTTCCTGATGGAAGCCTGATTTTATAGACAGATTGTGAATAATCATACACTTGTTTCCATTGATAATGTGAGTTGTTTGAATAGAGAAATAACCAATTATTTGAAACAAATAACTATAACGCAGAAACCGTTTGAACGAACTGGTAACATCCCTATATTTAAAAAAGCTCATGAAAAAGTACATTTTGCGTTTTGATCACCCTGTACTAATCATTGACAAATTCGATTTGTTTATGTATCGGTCAGAATTATGCTATAACGAATTATGTATACAGGTTGGTGTATTAATAAAACAAGTTAAAAAAGAAATACAGCACAATATTAATTTCTCTATATACTTTTGTCCAGTACTGTATATCATTCTTCTTAACATGAAAGCGTTCTATCTGAATATGTAATAAAAAGTGGAGTATTCCATTAAAAAAATCTACTTTGATATGTGGCTCAAAATTCGAACCCCCTGTATAATTGTGAATATTTTATAAATATGCCTCCATAGACAATAATAAAAAATATGGGATCTTTGGCGTTGTCTTAATTCGATAGAGCCTAACTTGTGCTGAACATGAGCCTTTAGGAACTGATGTCGACGTGGGCACTGTGGGCAGTGTATAGTCAACCTCCTTGACGCCATTTTTTATCTGGTAGCGTATTCTACGGCCACACCAAAAGCACCGTGCACCGCCACGTAATACATCGTGTCGCACGCCGTGACATGCCTGAACATATCCAATTCAACATGTATGTATACGTTGTATATACATGTCTATGGTTGTGGTCTTATTCAGTAACGGGGCCCGGGCCTTGTGCCTCCGCTTGCTCTCTCAGCACATATCGTATTAAATTCCCGTATTACGGATCCCCTTTTCACTTCTCACCCCTCTCACTGCCGCGCTTGTCGCGTGTGCCTTGTAAGGCGACGGGCGGTATGTTTTCATTTTGGGGTTTATATTTCGGAATATTAGTACGGGGACGTGGTCGAAAATATTGTTCGATAATACGTCAACGTTAGTCCGGGATGCCGTCTACCAAAAAATATACGCAAAAATTAGACACACTGTGGAAGACGCGATATTTCTGTTTTTAATGTAACACCTGAGACTTATCTTGTGGTTTTCATGTCGAAAGTCCCCGTTTGTCTGATAAATCAAACGTGATGAATTTAAAAGTCTTTAATGTATACGTTTTAGACACAACAGCGACTTTATCCGGTACCTGATAATTTCTAACGTGTCAAATTCACAACTTTTTTCAACTATTTTGATAACTTAACAGTAATTTGATTTTCTCTTCATTAATGATAGAGCACTGATTTCTATACCAAACGCTTTACAATGACTTTCTTTTGGAAAGTTTCATAATTTATTGATCTGGATCCTAACAATATGAACATACGAGCCCCTACCCAATTCAGTTGGCCCACTTCAAGATTTGTACCAAAATATGGCATTATAAACTAAACATGACAGAACTATTTTCTTCTAAAACAATTTATTTATTCTTCTAAATTTGCCAAATATTTCTTGTATCCACATTTCCACCAAAAAAAGGAAGTTTTCCTACTCCTTTTGATGACATACTGCCCCAGACCATAATGGATGCTGGAAATTTCACATTTCTCTTCGGACAGTCAACATGGAATGCTTCATTTTTTTGCGAATAACTCTACTGTCACCAACACCAACTACGAATCGGGCCTCATCACTCCATTGTATTGCACACCATTGTTGAGATGTCCATTGTCTATGTTCTTTAGCCCATCTAAGCCGATTTTTCTTTTGCAGTGGAGTTAATAGTGGCTTTTCTTTGGCCTATAAACAAGTTGTGCAACTTTAGGGTTTTTACTTCACTTTTTTAATAAGAAAACTTAACTTGCAAGTGCTAAATCCCAATTTGTGGCCCTCTCTATGAGTTGTGGACCTCAAAATTCTCCACAGAGCACTTGGTATGCCTGTTTTTCACGATTATTCTTAATGCTCTTCGGTCGGCATTTGTGATATTAGTTTTTTTCACATATCGTAGCTTAACATTAACTGAACCATTTACGTTATATCGTCTAACAATATTTCTCACACTGTCTAAGAAAGATGCAATTTCCGAGTTTGATTTCCCAGAATTAAAAAATTTCATATCAGTAACCGAATTTTCTCACTAATAACCTTTCTTCTACCCATTTCGAAAACCTTAGCTACCCAAAACTATTTTAAACGTATTCTGACAGCTGTGATTAATAAAAACAATTGTCATGGCTTTTATTT